CACTGGCTACACCCAAGATTTGAATCTGGTTAGCCTGGCTCCCAAGTCCATGCACCTGGTAGACTATTTAATCAGGTGGTCTTTTGTCTTAGTCCACAGCATTGGATGGACCCCAGACTGTCACTTGCAGGATGGGGACAGTGCTGGAGCCCCAGGCAGGTGGGTGGGGTCCTGGAGTCAAAGTGGTTTATGAACAACCCGCCATGCACCAGGACTGGGACTGGATGCAAAATCTCATCTCTAGACTAATGGTTAATTATATCTACTGGGTGCTGTTGAGGCATCGTCACGTGTGTCACTGCCTTCACACTCCCAGAGTCAGCAGTGTGACAGTGTTCACGTAATTTCTTTCAGAATCATGTAGGTCTCATGCAGAAATCTCAGGTGAAATAGGGCTGGCCTCCTTGTCTCCCCCCAACCCCATCCTGCTACCTCCTCGCCTACCCCCCCATACAGTGTAACAAACCAAAGGTCAGGGATAACTAGTTTTGAGGTCCCAAAGTAAGGAAGGAACCAGAATATAAGTAAGTGAGCCTTGGGACACCCGGGTGGCTCAGCGGTTGAGCGCTTCCCTTTGACTCAGGTGATCTTGGAGACCCGGGATCAAGTCCCACATCAGGCTCCCTGCCTGGAGCCTGCTTCCCTCTCTGCCTCTGCCTCTCTCGCTCTCACTCTTGTGTCTCTCATGAATAAATAAATAAAATCTTAAAAAAAAAAAAAAAAGGCTGAATCCTGTGAGCCCAAAGCCCAGGATCCTCTCCTGGTTGTGGCTCTCCCCTGCCTTAAGGAGGGGCCAAGATGGATGGACCCCAAAGATCGGGACTGTAGTTCTTTCTGCCCCATTTCTGTTCTGACGTTCCCAGGGAAGAGGGAGGAGTGCACCATTGTGAGGTTTCACAGGGCTCTTGATTTCCCCGCATCACAGATGCCCGAGGACGGGCTCCAGAGAGCTGAAGCCTGAATCCTAACTCGGGTGCCACTGAGCTTTAGGCTCATTGCCCCAGAAGCTGGGGCTTGGTTGAACTAGCTTGGCCTTCGTTAGAGGTGGGCTCAGTCGGCCTCCACACCTGTCTTCCGTTTGCTTGCCCTTCTGCGTCCCCTTCCTACCTGCCAGCCCTGGGCTTCTGGAGAGCGGGCACCAGGGCACCAGGGCTCCAGATGCCCCACAGCCCCGCGGGAAGGAGTGAGTCAGCTTTGTCTAATATAGTTGGTTCTTAAGGACCCCCACCCAGTACGTAAGGCTTGATAGAATGAGTGGGTTTTAAAGCCAGGTGATTCAATCAATAATCCAGGAAGGCTCAAGTTCCCAAATTGGGCTTTTTTTTTTTTTTTTAAGATTTTATTTGAGCGAGAGTGCGCACCTGTGCGCAGTCGTGGGGAGGGCAGGGGCAGACCACGTGGAGCCGCGAGCCCAGGGCAGGCTCAACCTCGGACCAGGACAGGAGCCGAAGGCAGATGCTTAACTGACTGAGCCACCCAGGCGCCCCTCAAGTTCCCGAGTATTTCTAAGGCATCCACTACCTTCCCCTAGAGTTTCCAAATCTATTTAAAAATGTTTAATCCTTGGCTCATTTCAAACGGGAGGGCGTGACTAGTTCTGAAGCCACCTTGTTCTCCCCGTTCATTCATCCGCACCTAAAGCCAGCGAGCTAGGCGGGCGGCTCGCTGTGCGCAGCCCGCGGGATTGCCCGCTTACAGCTGCCGTTTGAGTACGAAGTGCCCGGCACCGTGCAAAGCGTGTCATGCTTTGATTTTGGTACTACGGTCTTTCAAGCATCATCCTCTGCGCTTTCAGGTGAGAAAACAGCGTTTAGAGAATAGACTGGCTCCACAGGCTCCCGGGCCTCCTGAATGGGAGAACTGGGATTCAAACTCAGGTGGCGGGAGGGGCCCTGCCCGCAGGCAACCACGTGGCTGGTCTCCTCGCATCCAGTACCCGTGAGGTCAGGAGACACCGCCCCGGAAACCCTTGGCTCCGGCTATTGTCAGGACAGCACGGTTTCTGGTAGGAACAGAAACATCTCCCTGGTCTTCGCTCAGACACCCCCCCCCCCCCGCCCGACGCCCTGAGGATTGGCAGCTAAGATGCAGCTACGACCCATCTTAGCCAACTTGAGGGGGTACTTCAGTTTTAGGCTTCCGCCCCATGGCTCTCAGACCTGCTCTCTTGCTGTACTCAGTGCCTAAGAGCAGGAGGCTGGCAGGTGTATTCACGTTTGTAACCTGCTTACATGCCTCCAGTCATCAAAATATCTGATTTTCTTTAGTAATGTCTTCTGTCTTGTGATTAGGTGCCTCTGCTCTCGTTAAATGTCTTCAGCTCAGATCATGATCCTGAGGTCCTGGAATTGAGCCCTGTGTCAGGTTATTTGCTTCGCAGGAGTCAGCCTCTCCCTCTACCCTTTCCCCAGCTTGTGCTCTCAAGCACTCTCAGAATCTTACAGAACTTAAGAAAATCCCAGATAATTTTTTCCTCCCAGAATTAAGCATGGCCAACATTCTGATAAACTTCCACTTTTACTGTGCCTAAACTTTTTCCTTTCAATAGCACTGGGTCAGGATCCCTGGGTGGCGCAGCGGTTTAGCGCCTGCCTTTGGCCCAGGGCATGATCCTGGATACCCGGGATCGAATCCCACGTCTGGCTCCCGGTGCATGGAGCCTGCTTCTCCCTCTGCCTGTGTCTCTGCCTCTCTCTCTGTCTCTCATGAATAAATAAAATCTTAAAAAAAAATTTTTTTGAGAGTGAGAGAACTAAAGCAGGGAGGAGGGGCAGAGGGAGGAGAAGCAGACTCCCCACTGACCATGGAGCCTGAGCCCAAAGCTGGGATTGAGGCCAGAGCCTAAGGCTGACACACTCAACAAAGTAAAGCCACCCAGGCGCAATAGATCCTAGCTAGTTCTTTTTGTTTTTAAGATTTTTTATTTATTCCTGAGAGACACGGAGAGAGAGGCAGAGACACAGGCAGAGGGAGAAGCGGGAGAAGCAGGCTCCATGCAGGGAGCCTGATGTGGGACTCGATCCCGAGTCTCCAAGATCTGGCCCTGGGCTGAAGGCGGCGCTAAAACCGCTGAGCCACCGGGGCTGCCCCCCTAGCTAGTTCTTATACGCCAACTTTTCCCTTTCCTTGCCCATCTGGAACATTGACAAGCCTAGATATTTTATCACTCATAATACTGTAGTAACAGACCAGAAGGAGCAACTATGCCCAATAACCTTGAGAAACCAAATTCAGGGCTCATCCCAAATTAGATTGTAACTATTTTACCTGTAAGCAAAATTACTAAATTATTAAAAGCTAAAATAGAAAAAAGAAAACCACCCAAGATCTTTGGCAAAAGCCTTGTGTTCTTTGTTCGAGCTTGTTTTGAGGTACATTTTATTTATGCTTTGGATTAGCCTTTTTTTTAAATTTCTTATTTATGATAGTCACACACAGAGAGACAGAGACACAGGCAGAGGGAGATGCAGGCTCCATGCATCGGGAGCCCGACGTGGGATTCGATCCCAGGACTCCAGGATCATGCCCTGGGCCAAAGGCAGGCAGGCACCAAACCGCTGCGCCACCCAGGGATCCCTGGATTAGCCTTTTTAAAATTTATTCATTGGGATCCCCGAGTGGCTCAGCGGTTTAGTGCCGCCTTCTGCCCAGGGTCCTGGGATGGAGTCCCACATTGGGCTCTCCATAGGGAGCCTGCTTCTCCCAGTGTCTCTCATGAATAAATAAAACCTTAAAAACAAAATTAAAAATTTTATTCATGAGAGAGGAGGGAGGCAGACAGAAGGAGAAGCAGGCTCCATGTAGGGAGTCCGATTTAGGACTGGATCCCAGGACTCCAGGATCAAGCCCTGGGCTAAAGGCAATGCTAAACCACTGAGCCACCCAGGTAGCCCTGGATTAGCCTTTTTTTTTTTTTTTTTTTGGATTAGCCTTTTTTAAAGGAGACTCCACCTCAGCCTGGAGCCTGACAAGGGACTCAATCTTACAACCTAAGGTCATGACCTGAGCCAAAACCAAGTGTGAGGTCTGTAGCCTTTCAACTATATTAAAAGATGGAGGAATGAACTTGTCTCAGTCTCTCGGGAATAAAATGAAGTCTTTTTTTTCTTTAAGATTTTATTTTATTCATGAGAGACACAGAGAGAGAGGCAGAGACATAGGCAGAGGGGAAAGCAGGCTCCATACAGAAAGCCTGATGTGGGACTCAATCCCAGGTCTCCAGGATCACACCCCGGGCTGCAGGCGGTGCTAAACCACTGCGCCACCGGGGCTGCCCAAAATGAAGTCTTAAAAACCAAACAAACCTACCAACAGGGAAATGCCTCAGGTCAGGAGGATGGAGGGCCTGGAAGTTTCCACAGCCTAATTCTGCCCCATTTGCTAATAAGCTCCTAGAAAACAGCAGCAGTGAATTCAGCAGCATCGTACAGGTCTCCTACTTGTGCTTCCCCAAACATGAGTAAATCACTACCCTCGATATGGTGTATTTGAGGCCAGACAAGCAAATCAAGTTGTGGATCAATCCTATCTGAACAATCTAGGAACCCAATCTCCATTTGTAACTTTGTGATTCCTACAGACCAAGAGCCCAAATGCACAACTTAGCACAAAAGAAGCCATGGAGTAAGGAGAAGCGGGCCATAGATTAAGCATGCTGTGAAGGACTGAGTCTATGTCTTCCACGTGTGGGTCCTGCCCCTCCTTCCAGGAGTCAGTAGCAGGAGCACAAGACTTGGGAGCACTAGCTCAGATCCTCCTCTCCGGGTTCAGACCAGGTTCAACCCCGGTTAGCAGGTTATCATCAAGTATCCAAGAGACCCAAACTAGAGTTTTACTAGACTACACAGTTCTGAAGGTAGATGGAATGCACTTCCTGGTTTGCAGTATGCAGAACAGGCCCACCCACACTGGGTGCCAGAACCTTCCTTCATCAGTGTATGGCTATGGGATGTCACTGTCAGTTCACAGAGCGCACCCCCCCCCCCATCACAGGCAGACAGTTAACGGTAGCACTAGGATTTTTTTATTAAACGGTCTTAGTAAAGGCGCTGGGGTTTGCCCATTGTGCTCTTGATGTACAAAGCCCGGACGTTCTGCCAATTCTTCTTGAGCAAGGACACCAGGAAATTGACAGCTAAGTGGATGTTGTACACAAGCTCATCGTCCGTCATCTTCACGTGGCCAACAGCCACTGCCAGACATAGCACCTGTGAGAGAGTCCAGTCAAATCAGGCCGGCGGCCAAACGGAAGAGTCAGAGTAGGCACATCTAGAAGCCAAATGACCCATCCCTCCCCACTCCCGATGACCTAGTGAACAGTACCCGGACCCCAGGCCAGGAAAACCACAGGCACGTGCAAAGCTTCAACCCTGCTCAGTGACTGTCACATATCCTACGTATCTGTAGAAATGTGAGCCGGGACTCCCATTCAGAGAACATGGATGAACTTTGGGACTGGTGGTGCCACCATCACCAAAGCTTAATCTCTGCAACCCACTCAGACCTTCTTACCTTCTTCATCTGGAATTTGATGGTGGACTTCACTTCATCCACTTTGGCCACCATGTTCTCATTGTGGGTCAGCAAGGAAGGGAACTTGCCAGCTTTATTCAGGCCTGGACCCAGGATTCGTGGAATCTGCTTGATCAGAGATTCTGAAGCCAAAAAGGCATCATACTTCTTGGCTGGTAAAAAGAAGCCATCGGATGCTCAGGATCTGGGCCCCAAAAGCAACCTCTCAACAGAGTTTTGTCAACCAACCAGCAAAGTAGCCTCTAACCACTTACTGTACTCTCTCCACGTACAACGTCTTTTTAATCCTCTCCTTATTCCAGCTTGTCCCTATCCCCTGGCCTTTTACTGGCCTGACATTCATAGAAAACCTGACTTTGGAAACCCAGGCTGACTGGCTCTCTTCACGTTCCAATAGTAGATGCACATGCTGGTTTAAGACTCCTGGGGTTCAATGCCTGCAACTTTTCTATTACATGAAAAGCGGGGCACCTACTTTCTTTCTGTAAAATGCTTAGACTACTTATGATAAAGATGCGTGGAAAAAAAAAAAAGAACTTTAACTAGAAATCCCAATTCAGAACATAATAGCACCTCACTAGTCGACTTAGGGGAACTTGCCTGTTCAGAAAGACTCCTCAAAGCAAATAATAAAAAGGAACCTTAAAAGATTATGTGACCCCCCCCATAACAGATCCTTTCCATGATTCTGCCCCCCCCCCAATCGTTTTAAAATCCAAATGGCAATGTCACTTTTCTACCACTCCCGTGACAACCGTCTGCCGGAAAACAAAGCCACCCAAGCCACACTCACCCAGCTTCTTGACTAGTTTTTTATTCTTGTTGAGTTTCTTCAGCGCTTCAATGTCCATGTGGGGAATGTCCACTGCCTTGGCCTCATCACAGTGTTGCTGGTCCCCCAAAACACACACAGAGAACTTGGGGCGGGGGGTGGACTTAAGCCTGCGTTTGCGGGGAGGGGAACAGCACCGGTCAGGCCCAGCCCGGAGCTCCAGAGGCAGGCGAAGGGGTCCGGGGCCGCTGCAGTTACAGAGCCTTACCCAGCACGTCCACTTTCACCAACAGCTAGTCTGGCTTCTCAAACTAGCCGGCGGGCTCGGCCAAGGCCTCCCCACGCCTCCCCTCTTATTTTAAGACCCAGGGTGGGGGTCCGTCCAGCCACGGCTGCCCGGGGCAGGGGGTCTGAACTGCCCGGGCGCGTCCGTGCCCGCCCGCCTCAAGCTCCACAGGAGGCCCGGGCGGGAGGGCCCGGGGGGCCGGGTGGGGGCAGAACGGTGCCAACCTGACGGTGCCCGAGAAGCGTTTGTCCTTCTGAGGGTCATAGTTCTTCAGGCTGATCTGCAGCTCCACGGTCTCCAGAAACCTTAGGGAACGCAACAGAATCAGGCCGCCGCCCCTCCACCCGGCGGCCCCGCCCCCACCCCGCCAGGCCCGGCTTACTTCCGGCGCTTGCGCTGGTTCCCGTGCAGGACCTCCCGCACCGCCTCGTACAGGGTGTCGCGGGAGACTTTGCTGCTACAAGACAGAAGCAAGGCGAGCGCTCAGCACCTGGGCGCCCGCATCAACACCCTCCGCGTGGCCGGAACGCCCCCCAAGGGGAATCCGGGCACCACGTCCGGCGACCTAGGTGCGACCGAGATGCAGGCTCCGAGCAAGAGACACCCTTACCAGAAATGCCTCTCGGCGAAGCAGGGGCACGGACCCCCCGATTCGGCCCGCAAGCCTCCCTCCCTACCAAGGTGCCAGTAACCGCGGATGACGGTGGATGGCTCCCCGAGCGCACTCACCTCATGGTAACTCGCGCCGCAGTAACCGGAAAAGAGAGTGCTTCAACTCGCGCGTGCGCTCAAATAAGGCTCTTGTTCTCGCGAGACGCTTTTGTCCGTGGTTTCCCTCCGGAGCGCGGCCGGGTCGCTCAATCTCGGGTCGCGCCGCCTACCATGGCCGCTGGAGGGCGCTGCCGCGCGTAGCACAGCTAGGCTGGCTCCGAGGCGGTCCTGGGCGCCGGTCCTGGGCGCCCCGTGGCACCCGGAGACTGTCCCCAGTGGCGCCCGCTGCTGCCAGGCACGTAAGAGGCTGGCCCTGGGCACCTCACCTGGATGGCCACTGAGAGCATGTAGCTCCCGCCTATTTGTCCCTTCACGCCTTCGCGCGCCTGCTGTCTCAAAAGCAGGCTTTCCCCCGAACCTCTCCCTCATCTTGCTCTGGGGCTCATGCTTTCCGAGCAAATCGTGAGAAGGGAAATGTCATGAAAGTTCTGTCCCGGGCACACTTCCCCTACTCAAAAAACAGCCCTGATAGGGCAGAAGTGAGTGGTGTCACACAGTGCTGCACAGAACATGAATAAATGAACTGGACAACTCTGGCACCTTCCCCTTGCAGAACGGTTCACCAGGAAAGATGCCCCCTGTCACCAAGTAGGGTGAGTGGTGGTGGTGTCTGTTGGTTTTCCACAAATACCCAGAGTTAATAGGAAGGCATACCTGTTTTGTTTTGTTTTTTTAAGATTTTATTTATTTGAGAGAAAGTAAGTGCACACAAGCAGAAGGATGGGGAGGGGGAGAAGCGGACTCCCCACTGAGCAGGAAGCCCAGACTGGGGGCTCTATCCCAGGACCCTGGGATAATGACCTGAGTCTAAGGCAGACACTTAGCCAACTGAGTCACCCAGGTGCCCCAAACCCCTGCTTTTTAATAAATTATCATCCAAGTCAGAACACAGAGGGTCGTAACATATACTTGAGTGCAAAATATATATTTTTTAATGATTATTTATTTGAGAGAGAGCGAGTGCACAAGCACAGAGGGAAAGGGAGAAGCAGATTCCTTGCTGAGCAAAGAGCCAGATGCAGGGCTCGATCCCAGGACCCCGAGATCATGACTTGAGCCAAAGGCAAACACTTAACCAACTGAGCCATCCAGGCGCCCCTGTGCAAGATATTCATGCTGAGCACACAGGTCATCTCAGGGCTCCTGAAGCATCATTCATCTACTCTTGGTCTGCTTTGACCCTATTGAGGCCTTTCAGAAAGTTTGTCCCCATCATCTGATGAAAATGTGACAAAGAGTGAGCCCAAAGGTCAGCAGCCCTGGGAAATAAAGCTCCTCCAGCCCCCTCAGCCCAGGAAGCACCCCCGTGCTGGCTGGGGGGCCAAGTGGGGGGCCTCTCTGCATCCTGGAGCAGGAATGGGATGGCCAGGCTCAGCCTTTATCCCCAGACAAGGGGTCAGGGGATGGTGCTGAGGGCAAAAGTATTCTTCAGGCAGCTGGTGGGGGAGCTCCAGGAGTGTGGTCTCTTGGTGGATGGTCAGGGGCCCAGATGTCTCAGGGCAGCCTGCAGGGACTTCCTCAGGAAAGTGGTGTTAAGCTCTAGGGCTGTGGCCAGGCCCAGCCTCTGGATCTCAGTGATCTGGGAGAAGGAAGAATCATATCAGGACTCCAGCAGCTGATCCTTCCCCTTCCCCCTCTGCCCATGGCCCTGTTTAGGAAGGAGAGAGGAATCCAGGACACAAGGACAATGGAGGAGATATCTAAATGCATTACTTCACCATGATTATGCAAGGTCTTTGTATTCAAGTGGACCTGGGACCAAATATGAACTATACAACTTACTAAGTCAGCCGCATTAATAACACTTGACAATTATTGGGTGCTTACTATGTAGCAACACTTTATAAACATAACTTCATGTAATCTGCACAACCCTCCCATTTTAGAGATGAGAAGACTGAGGGACAGAGATACTCTACTGTGGCTGCCACATTCCTTCGGGGCCACACTATTTCTTCCCTGACCTTTTGCTACAGCCTCCTGACAGGTCTCTGCCCTATATCTTCTCTCCGATCCCCACTCCTTACAGATGCCAGAGGCTTCTTTCTAAAATGCAAATCTGACCAAGTCACCCCAGCTTCAGCTGGGCCCTGGGGTAACTATAAATGTCTCATATTGGATGCCCTTCCTCCAGGATCTACAGGGTCTCCAGAGGATCCAGGATTCTCCTGAAATTGTGCATAACATGTGTTCAGATTTTTCATTTTTCTTGGAGGATCTATAGCTTTCATTAAATCATCAAATGGGCCTGTGACTCCCCCAAAAAGGTAGGGACACTTGACCTTCAAGATAAAGTCCATGATCCTCCTCATAACCTTTAGGGTCTTCCATACGATGATGGCACGGCCTGGCCATGTCATCCTAGGCAGGTCACTTTAACCTCTCTGGATCTCAATTTCCTCATCTATAAAATGGAGCTGTTAATAGTATCTTCTCATTGGGCTAACACCTGAAATAAACTAGCAAGGCCACATAAGCAAAGGGCTTTAAATAGTGCCTAAGACATAGCAGAGGCTCTGCAATATTACCTCGCGGTGTTTTAACTCTGACCTAGAACCTCACCCCTACCACCATCCACTCTCATGTTTTCAGGCCGAAGCTACCATCTGTAGATCCCCCTGGATGCTCACAGTTTATACTGTTTCCTTTGCCTGAAATGTCCTTTCCTCAGTCTTAGCCCTTGACCACTACTCACCCTTTCAGAATTGAGAAGCCTGTCCCAACCACAAACAAGGTTTAGTTGCTTCCACCACCACCACCACTACCACCACCACCACCACCACCACCAAAAGCACCCCCCAACCCCCACCTCTCATCTTTCCAGATGTGATGCCGATCTGGTTATCATCTCTCCTACCTCACTAGCCTGGCACCGGTAGAGAATGTCAAGTCAAGGACAGGAACTGTGCTATGGTCTCTGTCGATTCCCCAGTGCCTCACTCACCATCTGGCCCACGGCAGTGTTGCCTGCATTAACGACCTCCTAGCAGTCTCATTCCCCACTCTGAAGCTTGAACTTGTAGTTTCCCTGGCTAACATTCAGGATGTCTTCCCTGGCCAACATCTAGATGTACACCCTCGTGGGCACACTCAGAGCAGCAGGACCAGCCCTCATGGCCCTTCCAGTACTCACACTGGCCTGATACTTGGTCATCACTGTCAGCATAAGCTTGGCATAGGCCATGGAAGTGGTGGCTGCTGGCCCCTCTCTACAGAGCTTCTCCATCAACACACTGAACTTCTCGGGGGTTATCTCCACCTGCACACATTGGGAGACGGGACAACAGAATAAGAAAGGGCTCCAGATTCAATTTCAAACTCTACCACTTCCAACCTAGGTAACCCCAGGCAGGTCACATAACCAAACTGAAGCCTCAGTTTCTGCATCTGTAAAATGGGGCTCATGACATCTAACGCTAAAGATGATGAAAAATATTAAATGAGATAATGCACATAAAGCCTGGCATATACATCTCAGCCCTGTTTGGAGTCCCAGAGGGCACTGCCAGCATAACAATAGTTGTTCTTAATAATTTAATAAATACTTATCATGCACAGGGCACTGTTCTGAGAACTTACACTAATTATCCATTTCAACATCACCCTGGCCTTGTGTGGCAGGTATGATCATCATTCTCCTTTTGCAGATGGGGAGACTGAGGCATAAAAAGGTTAGGTCAACCACCTAAGCTATAAACAAATGAGGCAAAACTTTAGGTAGTGATATGGAAACATTGCCAAAATATACTGCTAGTTTAAAAAAGCAAAGTACAGAGCACTGAGCTTGGTATGTTGCCATCCATGAAAAAAGTAGGGAAAAAGTAGGGGCACGTGGCTGGCACAGTTGGTTGCGCATCCGACTCTTGGTTTCGACTCAGTTATGATCTTAGGGTCAGGAGATTGAGCCCTAAGTCAGGCTCCCACACTCAGCAGAGTTTGCTTGGAGTTTCTCTCTACCTCTGACTCCCCACCCCCTGCTACTGCCCCATGCTGTCTCTAAAATAAATAAATGTTGGGGCACCTGGGTGGCTCAGTCAGTTAAGTGTCTGCCTTTGGGTCGGGTAATGATCTCAGGGTCCTGGGATCGAGCTCCACATCGGGCTCCCTGCTCAGTGAGGAGTCTGTTTCTCCTTCTCCTTCTCCTTCTGCCATTTCCCCTTCTTCTGCTCTCTCTCTCTCTCTCTCTCGAATAAATTAATTAAATATTTTTTAAAATAAAGAAAAGAAATAAATCTTAAAAAAAAAAAGGCAGGGAAAAAGTAAACTTAAATATGTGTCCTTGTACACAAAAGCACCTCTGGGAGGGTTCCCCTGAAACTAGTAACAGTGATGAGCCCTGGAGAGGGGAACCTGGATGGATGGTTCACTGTATCCTTTGAGCTTGAAAACTTGTGAACATAGGAATCTATGATGTACTCAACAATAAAAGAAAATTCACACACACATCAAAAGGTCCCTCCCCAAGGCCACGCAGCTAGTAGGTAGCAGAGCCAGGATGTACAGTGTGGTCAGCTTTCTGCTCTCAGCTTTTTAAGCCCCAGGACTCACCCACCGTGTAACATACCTTGCTGTGGGGCAGCTGCTCTGCTCACCACCCCTGGAGGGATCAGCAACCCGGGAGGCCCATGCCTGTCCATAGCATTGGACTACCCTTCAAGGCAGTCTGCTCACCTGCCGTTCCAGGAGTGACTGCAACACCAAGAAAGTCTCCTCCTTCCAGGGCAGCTCTAAGATCTGTCTGCAAAAAGCACAGGCCCCGCTGAGAACAGTGCACGCCTGGGTACCTACTGTTCCTACCTTAAGGAAGGGCAAGGCCCTGGGGACAGCCTAGATCCCCAGCCAACAGAGGAAATAGTCAGAGCCCCCTGATGCTGGCAGCAGCCAGCCACTACTCGGTGCTAGGAAGGCTACAATACAAGGCTCCTGGAGAGGATAACGGAGGATCTGATTTGAAGTGTATAAGGTTCCCTAAAAAATGAGCAGGAGTGAAGAATGCCTCTTGAGTACAAAAGGTGAGGGTGACCCAGGGAAGAGGATGATGGTGCAGTGAGATATCTACAAGGCTTTCTAGAAAGGGCAGCCTTCCCTGCAGAGCCCAATCCACAGGGAGGCCCACTCCAGCTGTGCTTCCCAAGCTACAACGCCATCTTCCACTTGTGTGGAGAGGCAGTGTGTCACACAGAAGTGTGGCTTCTTGGGTGCTGGGCCTTGAATCTGATCCCAGGCTTTAATACTTGCTGGCTGTGTGACCTTCGGCCCATGTCCCTTAGCAACTCTGAGCTTTAGGTTTTCTGTCTCTAATAGCACCCACCTGACAGCACTGCATTAGCACTTCCTGAGAAAATGAATCTAAAGCACAGAGAAGGGAGCAGCCTGGGTGGCTCAGAGGTCTAGCCTGCCTTTGGCCCAGGGTGTGATCCTGGGGACCCAGGATTGAGTCCCACGTCAGGCTCCCTGCATGGAGCCTGCTTCTCCCTCTGCCTCTCTCTCTCTCTCTCTCTCTCTCTGTGTCTCTCATGAATAAATAAATTATTTTATTTTATTTTATTTTATTTTATTTTATTTTATTTTATTTTATTTTATTTTATTTTTATTTTAATTTATGATAGTCACAGAGACAGAGAGGCAGAGACACAGGCAGAGGGAGAAGCAGGCTCCATGCATCGGGAGCCCGACGTGGGATTCGATCCCGGGTCTCCAGGATCGCGCCCTGTGCCAAAGGCAGGCGCCAAACCGCTGCGCCACCCAGGGATCCCCGAATAAATAAATTCTTTAAAAAATAAATAAAGCACAGAGAAAGGACTCGGTAAGTGGTGGCTGACATTTAAACAACTGTTCCCTTCTCGTGTGAGAGTTAGTGTTTATTTTATTTAAAAAAAAATATTTTATTTGACAGAGAGGGGGAGCAGTAGGGAGAGGGAGAGGGAGAAGCAGGCTCCCCATTGATCAGGGAGCCTGACATGGGACCTGATCCCAGGACCCTGGGATCATGATCTGAGTAGAAGGCAGATGCTTAACCTACTGAGCCACCCAGGTGCCCCAGAGAGTTAGCATTTATATTTCATGTTAGTGTCAATTGGGCCTTAGCTACTCATTTGTTTCTACATGGCTGGATCTTGACTCCCCAGTTTTAATACCCAAATTTAACACAAATTTAATAACAATTTTTGAGCACTTACTGTGCTGAGGTCTATATGCATTATCACATTTAACATCTACAAAAATCCTAGAGTGAATATTATGCCCATTTTTCATATGAGGAAACAGAAGACTGAGAGAGATGGAGAAACCTGTCTGAATTCACACAAGGCAAGCCTGGGATTTAAAATCCTGTCTTCCCGGATCCACAGCCAGTGCCTTAACCACTGTGCCATGTTCCAGCTATGCTGTGAACGGCTCGAGTGGGGACCACCAGCCCCTTCTCTGTGTCCCCCCTGGCATCTGGCCTGGAATGCTGGAACCTGGGGCTTGGGCAGGGTCACAGAGTGGCAACTGTGGGGGGGAGGCACAAAGCCCAGCTCAGGCAACAGCGAGAGGGGCCTCTGCTGTGCCGCCACCTGTCTTTCAGGTACAGGGCCTGGTATCCAGGCAGCTCCAACTCCAGAATGCCAAGAGCAGGCTTGGCCAGTGGGAGGGGGTAGGGGTGGGGACAGCATGGAGGCGTGTACACTCACCCCAGCATTAGAACCTGTGCGTCTGGCTCCAGGGCCTCATCCTTCATAAGGCAACACAGTAACTCTGTTTGAGCTGGACCTGGGTAGGGGACAACAGGGCGGGAGGTCTGGGGAAAAATGGCAGGAGAGGATAGAACACAATGCCTGGCTCATTACAGGGGAGCATAGTCAGGGAAGCAAGGCAGCCTTATTGACTGAATACACAACTGCCAGGGCCCCCCAGGAGTGAAGGGTGGTGGGAAGAGAAAGGGCAGAGCTACTGGACCCAGGGCTGGTTCCAGAATTACCTGTTCCCGGGGCCTGGAGCACAGGGACAAGGAGGGCTCTGCAGACAGGATAGGCATACTTGGCACAGAAGGCGGTCAGCGCGGTCATGAGCAGGCGGGAGGCTGAGGAAGTCAGGGAGAGAATCTACAGCCAATGGGGAAGGAAATATTAATTAATTCATTTCTTCTTTCCTTGAATGAATGTTTGTCAGACACATATTTCAGACGGTGATACATGTTACAAAGAAAACACAAAAGTTCGGGACACCTGGGTGGCTCAGCAGTTGAGCATCTGCCTTCGGCTCGGGATCTGATCCCAGAGTCCCGGGATCAAGACCAACGTTGGGCTTCCTGCGTGGAGCCTGCTTCTCCCTCTGCCTGTGTCCCTGCCTCTCTCTGTGTGTCTCTCATGAATAAATAAATAAAATCTTAAAAAAAAAAAAAAAAGAACTTTTGTGTTCTTTCATGAGACACACAGAGAGAGAGAGAGGCAGAGACACAGGTGGAAGAAGCAGTCTCCATGCAGGGAGCCGGGCATGGGACTCGATCCTCGGACTCTGGGATCATGCCCTAAGCCAAAGGCAGATGCTCAACTGCTGAGCCACCCAGGTGTCCCATATAAAAGTTCTTTTATCTAGAACTCACATGGATTCACCCATTGGAAATGACACAGAGTTCCCAAATCCCTTCAGCTCCTGGAAGGATCTGGAGCTCAAGAGAGAGGAATTAGATGGCATGTGGATAGATGGCCTGGAGGTCCATGCCCTCCGCCTGCCCCAGGCTGCCTCTGAGAGCCCAGATGCCTTACAAGGTGGGGAACCCCCTCTCCCAAGCACCACCCTTCTGAGGGCTCAGATGCTCTTCCCCATAGTCCCTACCATGCCAGGTGTATCACAATGCCACCTACCCGTCTAAGAAAGAGGCTCTTGGTCAGAACAGTAGCATTGCTGAGGCTGAGATCCGGGGAAAGGGACAGAAGCCAGGTGCAGAGCTGCAGGAGAGCTGGATCGGAGAGCTGTGAGAGCTGCAGCTGGGCACACAGCAGGTCCACCTACCAAGCAGGAGAGGCCACAGACTCATTCAGTCTGCCTCTGTTAGGCTGTCTCAAGCCAACTGGGCAGCAGAATGAGTAGGGCAAGGACACTCCAAGGTAACGTAAGGCAGGGAGAGCTGCCCTATGAGGAGGATCCAAGGTCTAAAGCACAAAGGATGACCTTTACCCAAGAGACCACAGAACCCAACAAAATCCGCTCCCCAAATTCCCACACAAGGCAAGGAAACACAGACCTAAATGGAACAAGGCTGGGGAGAGGGGATGTACCTTCAGGGCCAGGTAGTCTTCCTGGACTCACCTGGCTGGGACTGCATTCATGGAGAAGCTGTAGCTCAACCGGCAGGGTATCCTCCAACCCCTGGAAAAGGCAAATCTCATGTCCCGACTGTGACAAGTCAGAGACCACCCCTTGGTCTGGCAGAGTGGGGGGTGAGGAGCCTGGACACTATCAGAGGAGAAGGACTTGTCTGGGGTTAGATAACATGTCTGTCCTTGGGCCAAGAGAAGCCCCTGCAGTGATTGTCTTCAGACCTTCACTCCGACCCCCATTGTCCAAACAGCCTGTGCTTCCCTGGGCCTGGCTAAGGTCTAGACAGAAAGTGGAAGGGCGATGGTGAGCAGGGGCCAGTTACCTCCCCCAATGTCTTGAGCAGCTGCTGCAGTCTGGGAACCTGGTCCTGCAGAGAAAAGCCCAGTCACTGCCAAGTCCCCGTCAACACAATGTGGTCCCGGGGCCCAGTCCTAGCCCCCTCCCCCGAGAAGGCTCCAGATCAGTGAGAGCTAATGGGCAAGGATGATTCAAGAGAGTCAAGAAAGCGAAGCCTAAACCTTGAGAGGAGCTTAAGAACTCAAAGTATAGTAGACAAGGCCCGTGGAAACCCAGCTGTCTAGACTTGTCCCCTCTGCACTCATCCTAATGGTAGACCCAGGGCTTAGGTTGGGAAGACAGGCTGGATGCTGGCATGATTCCACACCCTCTGCGCAGAGGAGCTTCTCTTCTTGCCTGGCATCCTTTAACCTCATGTTGTAGATTATTAGGGCCAAAGGTTTCCCCCTCCACTAACTCTTCCCACCTCCTGCTTGGGAGTCCATGGAGCAGAAACTATATTCCCTGAACTCCACACCCCTACCCCTGCTTCATAGACTTGTTACCCCAGTTGGGAAATAGTCTCCCACCGAGCCCTCACCTGGATAAACCCCCCACTCCTGGAGGATCACTCTAAACCCAGCCTCCCCATTCTAGTACCTGGACAGGTTTGGGCAACTGCAAACTCTCAGCTAGGTCCTTAGCAGCCTCCAGACTCTGACCAGCCTCACTGGGCTTGGCCCTGACACTCTGGTTCTTAATGGATAGGGCATCTTCTCCATCTGCCAGGGATTCCAAAGATTCAGGTTCACATCTCTCCTCCTCCTGACCTTCTTCCTCTTCCCCTTCCAAACACTGGAACTTTTTGGGGGCACACTCGCCCTCAGGACTGGTAGGTCCTTCCTCTTGCCCCTTTCTGCGTTTCCCAGGTTGCTGAGAGTCCCTGTCCTCCTTGTCCTCCTCTTCTTCCTCTTCAGGCTCTGGAACCTGGAGCAACTTCAGCCTCCTGCCTCCCCGGCCCAGCCGCCTACACAGGCCTTGGAGCCGTCCCTGGCAGCTCTTAGACAGCACAGACACGCCCTCAGTCGATACCCCACCGTTCAAATCCCTCTGCAGCAATTCCCCCAGGACCCAGAGCCAGGCATCAGGGTCAGGGCTTTGGTCTTGTTGTGCAATCTGCAGCACAGGGAGTAGTCCATTTTCAGGCAACAATGGCCGAACAGCCATCAGCAGGGACATCAGATTCCTCTGGCATAACGGGGGCAAGCGCAGCAGCAGTGGCTTCCTGGGCAGAAGGAGAACAAGCAGTTAAGAATATCTTGCTGGAAGGAGCACAGGCCAGACTGGGTAAAGCTGGGTGGCAATGGACAGACAGGGTGGCTAGGAGGCAGTACCCTTGGGTCAGGGTGGATGGAAGGAGTCAGCAGGAGAGCCATTCATTTTTATTTTTTTTTAAGAATTTATTTATTTATTCATGAGAGACAGAGAGAGAGAGAGAGAGAGAGAGGCAGAGACACAGCAGAGGGAGAAGCAGGCTCCATGCAGGGAGCTTGACATGGGACTCAATCCCAGGTCTCCAGGATCAGGCCCTGGGTTGAGGGTGGCACTAAACTGCTGAGCCACCAGGGCTGCTCAGGAGAGCCATTCAAAAGGCATTCATCGAGCATGTATTTTTTGTTGTGGTGGTTAAGCCAGTTTGAGTTCATTTTACTATTCCTAAACTGCCAAAAGTTCTCTGAACAATTCAATTTTTTTTAACAATTCTTTTTTTAATTGAGCATGTATTCATATATTCTGGGCTAGGCTCTGTTTTTTGACGTGTCCTATTTTGGCTCAAAAAAATCCACACTGAGGGGCACCTGGGTGGCTCAGTGGTTGAGCAGCTGCCTTCAACTCAGGTAGTGATCCTGGGGTCCTGGATAAAGTCCCATATCAGGTTCCTCCCAGGGAACCTGCATCTCCCTCTGCCTATGTCTCTGCCTCTCTCTCTCTCTGTCTCTCATGAATAAATAAAATCTTAAAAAAAAAATCCATATTGAAACCTATTCTATAAAAGATCCATGCTTGTTTTACATTAAAAAAACTCCCTTCCCAAACTTTGCATAAAAATAATCCTTCAGGGGCGCCTGGTTGGTTCAGTATGTGACTCTGTTTTGTGTGTGTGTGTTTTGTGTGTGTGTTTAAGAGTTTATTTATTTAAAGTAAACTCTACACCCAATACAAGGGCTCAAACTCAGGACCCTGAGATTATGAATCACACACTCCACCGACTGAGCCAGCCAGGCAACCCTGGAGCATGTGACTCGTGATTTCAAGGTCATGAGTTCAAGCTTCACATGGGGGGGGTGGAGGGTGGAAGCTTACTTAAAAAGATTAAAAAAGGGGCAGTCTGGGTGGCTCAGAGGTTTAGCGTTGCCTTCAGTCCAGGGCCTGATCCTGGAGACCCGGGATTGAGTCCCACGTCGGGCTCCCTACATGGAGCCTGCTTCTCCCTCTGCCTGTGTCTCTGCCTCTCTTTCTCTCTGTGTCTCTCATGAATAAATAACTAAAATCTTAAAAAAAAAAGATAGATTAAGGCCCAAAATAAAAATAGTAATATTCCAGGATGTGGTGCAGCGCTTACTCTGCAGCCCTGTACTCCCCTTAGCAATCCCCTGGAACTTACAAGGTCACATCTAGCTCTGACATTCCTGTCACCCGAGTTCCTGAGAGGCAGAGGCAGTCTCTCCTTCCTCCATGTCCCAGTAGCCAGCACAGCGTCAGTCCATAGCAGGCAACGGGTACACATTTACTGAATGAATTAACTCTCTGAGGATAAGTCCAGAGATAAGCAAGGGCTACTTTGGACAGAGCAATGTAGCCGTCTGTCATGCACAAATCCAGATGCTGTGTGACCTGAGGCTTACTGGTGTGGCAAGCAAGTCATGGGTACACCAAGCCCACCTGGCATCACACCTCTGCTTCTCTCTATGTGATTCCTCAGGGCTGCTTGTCATTACATACAAGGGGCATCTGGGATGTGTGAAAGAGAAAAAAATATTTGACTTTGATTTCTTTGTGAAAAACACTAAGTGAGAGAGAAAACTAAGGTAAAAGTTCAAAAGATGGTCAATTTGTGGTAGAGGATATTTAGAAGCACAGAGCTGGGGGAAAACCCTACTTCAAAGGCTCTTAACTTTTTTGTGTGCATGAATCCCCTTATCAGAGTGTTAAATGCAGAAAATAAAATACATGGGATTATGAAAGAAACCAACTATACTGAAATAAAGTTCTAACCAGGGACCCCAAATTAAGTTCCCTTCCTCTTATTCTGTCCAGAAAAAGCCAGACAGCTGAATATGTTTATGGCCTCCAATTTGGGGATGCAGAAAGTTCCCCTGACCCATTTCTTTCTTTCTTTCTTTTTTTTTTTTTTAAGTAGGCTCCATGCCCAGCCTGGAGTTCACGGTGGGACTTAAACTCAGGACGCTGAGATGGAGACCCTGAGATCAAGACCTGAGCAGAGATCAAGAGCCCTAAGCTCAACTGACTAGCCACCCAGGGGCCCCTCTCCTGACCCATTTCTCAAAACAAATTCAAAGTAGGGTGTGTGAAGACAATATTAGAATTTCCACTTCTACTTATCTAAAACATGAGAAATTAAGTATCACAAATATTTAATGTATGGAATGGCCCTTCATAGTCCAGTCTCCAGCCTAATTCTGAGAGGAGCATCTGAGTGCAAAGACGGCTCTTCAGCCCCCTAGAGGCTGAAGGGGACACTTCTGTCACTTTTTCTACTTCGAGTATTTTGGTTACTTCGGATAATTAAATGCATTTATGGATACTGAATTATGTTCTTTAACAAAACCAACCTCACTAAATGGACACACAGCTTATAAAGATGACCGAAAAGGAACTGAATACCAGTAAGGGAAGCCCATCAAATAAGAAAATGGCAGAGCTGACCCTTCTGCTCCTAGCAGAAATTCAGTCACATAGAGGCAAAAAAGAAAGAGGAAAGAAAGAAAGAGGAAAGAAGAAAGAAGAAAGAAAGAAAGAAAGAAAGAAAGAAAGAAAGAAAGAAAGAAAGAAAGAAAGAAAAGAAAGGAAGGAAGAAAGAAAGAAAAGTTCAAAGTCACCTCAAAGACTGTAAATTATCAAGAACACCATCCTTAAGAAAAGTGATTTTGCCCTAAAATGTATACTGCGCTTTGAAAATTTGACATCATAAAGCCACTCCTTCAGATGTCCGTTCTGTCACCACAGCTTAAATTTCTTCTTTTTGGGACACCTGGGTGGCTCAGTGGTCCCGCATCGGGCTCCCTGCATGGAGCCTGCTTCTCCCTCTGCCTGCGTCTCTGCCTCTGTCTGTGTCTCTTATGAATAAATAAATAAAATATTTTTAAAAATCAATTTCTACTTTTGTATACTTTACAACGTACGTATTTTTACTCCTGTGTACACTAGAGGTATGAGTGCGATTGCCTTGGAGCGGGAAGCGTGCGGTCAGATCCTCGGAGCCCACCGGCTTCCAGCTCCTCATTCACGCGCAGGCTGGCGGCTCCCGCCGCACCTAGGCGGTCCTCCACCAAGGCCCGTGGGATGCGCTCCTCCTCCCGGGGTGCGCGGCAGGGATGCCGGGCTGCGGGCCTCGATCTCCTCATCTAGAAAGTGGGGTGGCGCCACCCCCCGCCTCACGGCCGAAACGCGGCGCTCCGCGAGCAGGCGACTTACAGCTCCAGGCGACAGTCCGGGCCCTCCACGACGGGCTCCTCCCGGCACAGCGCCTCGAGGATGCGGCCCCAACCGAAGGGCTCCCCGCCGCGACTGGCCAGCGCCCGCAGCAGCCCCAGGCCGCGCCGCGCCCCGTCCGGCCCCGCCTGCAGCGCCCGCAGCAGGAGCTGGGCGGGGGCCTCCAGCTGTGCCCAGGGCGCCGAGTCTGCGCCCTCCGCCGGAGCGGGTGCCGCCTCCGAGGCCGCCATGCCCGGAGCCGCCGCCGCTCTGGTTCCTGACCTCGGTCTCGAGGACCCGGGAAAGGGCGCAGGCCGCCAGCGCCTGCCCTGACGCGGCGACGAGCCTCTTCCGGCACCTGCCACCTGCGGGCCTGGGGGCTCCGCGGCCGGGAGCCAGCCAGATTCCCGCGCGCCCTCAGAAAGGCACGAAGGAGGCGTGGCTAGGGGCGGGGCCGGACGTGAAGCGAGGGGCGAGGGCAGGCCGGAAGGGGCGGGGCCACAGACGGTCCTGACCATAGAGGCGGAGGAACGGAGTGAAGGGGCGGGACGAGGGCCGAGGGAGATCCGCGGGTGGGGCGGGGCCACTGTGGGGGCGGGGCCATGCTGGAGATGGTGGGGCGGGGCGGGGCTCGGTGGAGGGACGTATTAACCCTCACCTTTGTTCCTCTCCTGCTCTCTGAAGAGAGGAGGCCGGGGATGGAGTGCAGAGAGGATGTCAGGGATCCTGTTGTTTGGGAGCCAAGCATCATTTAATCTTAGCTGATGTCCATGTTATGCGCATCATGGATTTTTTTTTTCGCATCATGGATTTTAAGATAAGGTTTTTTTGGGATCCCTGGGTGGCGCAGCGGTTTGGCGCCTGCCTTTGGCCCAGGGCGCGATCCTGGAGACCCGGGGTCGAATCCCACATCAGGCTCCCGGTGCATGGAGCCTGCTTCTCCCTCTGCCTGTGTCTCTGCCTCTCTCTGGGTCTCTCAAGAATAAATACATTAAAAAAATCTTTTTTTTTTTATGATAGTCACAGAGAGAGAGAGAGAGAGAGAGAGGCAGAGACACAGGCAGAGGGAGACGTTTGTTCTGACCTGGGACTCGATCCCAGAACTCCAGGATCACGACCTGAGCCAAAGACAGATGCTCAACCCCTGAGCCATCCACGTGCCCCCCTTGCAATAAGATTTAGTCACAGTTTACCACCCCACATTGACATCACCTCTTCCACAGGCCATCAACTGTCATCACCAGGTTTCAGTCCTCTCCAGAAATATTTGATACACTATGCCTGAGAATAGGTTGGTAAAACACTCTATGGCCAAAGGCTTTGCTGAGAACTTCCTCCCCAAGTCCAAGGAGTCAACTTGTCTTGTGTTGTTTATAAGGGCCCAGGAGGGCTCTACCTCCCAAGGTTTCAGTGTAAAGAAATCTGCTGGAGAAGGCAAGCTTCTAGTGAAGTGGGAGGAGAAGAGGAATCACTGCAGAAGATAAGAATATATAGAGAGGGGAGAAGAGCCCCCCCCCCCCCCGCCAGGATCCATCAATCCCACTTTGGGTTCCAGTCTGTATTTACCATTCTCCCAACTTCTGCAGCTACACACATTCATTCATTCAATACACTTTTACTGATCACCTAGGGTTGGGGACTCAGGGAGCAAAACAAAGTGACCCTCCTCATTGTTGCTGACGCTCTAGAGAGGAGAGACAACTAATAAGTTAACGATAGAATGTTTGATTGTTATTAGTGCTTTCAAGAAGAATATAGCAAGGAAGCGAGACACAGTGAGGTAATCTTTAAGTAGGTAGTCAGGCGAGATGAACTGAAGAAGATAATGAGGCAAAACAGATAGACATCTGTGGGGAGGTCATTTCAGGCAGAGGGAAGAGCACATGCAAAGGCCCTGAGACATAAGTGTGGCTGGAGCAGAATGTACTTCCTGGGGAGTAATCAGAGAAGAGGTCAGAGAGGTAACTGGGCCATCTCTTGTGAAACCTTGATGCAATACTTTGGTTTTCACTCTAAATAGTATGTAAGCCAAAGGAATGTCTTGTTGGTTTTTAAGTAATCTCTACATCCAATGTGGGGCTTGAACTCATGACCCTGAGATCGAGTTGCATGCTCTACCAACTGAGCCAGCCAGGCGCCCCTGAACAGTATGATAAGTCATAGGAATGTTTTGAGCTGGATCTGATTTCCATTGCAGCCAATTTTTTTCCCCCAAAATAATTTTAAGGTAGCTAGGGTCTGATCCTGGAGACCTGGGGTCGAGTCCCATGTCGGGCTCCCTGCATGGAGCCTGCTTCTCCCTCTGCCTATGTCTCTGTCTCTCTCTCTGTGTCTCTCATGAATAAATAAATAGAATCTTAAAAAAAAAAAAAAGAATTACTGGGACCCAGTAAGAGTTCTGAACTCCAGAAGGCCATGGCCAGGGCACTATCCATGAAGAATACTTCGTCTTCCTGCTGTTCTGTGCCTCCTAGGAACACTGTTGGGCCCTGGGAGTAGAGAAAGAAATCAATGAAAATCCATCAGCTTCATCCCCATTACCCCAGGAACAAGAGAGTCAAGGCTGACACGTAAGGTCGGGCAAGTTGTACATAGCACAAAGATGCCTCATCTTAGCAGGCACCATTATCATTATGGACATCATGTATGGGTTTTACATTTATCACAGACATTTATGATAAACATGACCAGCAGCCTCCCTGTCCCATATGCCTGCTGTTACCACCTCACTCCCAGAGGTCAGCTGCGTACTCTCAGTCCAACGAGGATCAGAGGTGAGGGCTTTATCTGGTAGCTGGTGCAGATAAATACAATCAGACTTGAAGGGGCAGCAGCCATTCCCTTGCGTGAAGAATCAGCATTGGATCTGGCTATGAGAGGGCAGAAGGAGAGAAAACCATTGTCTTCAAGCCCCGTTGCTCCAGGAACAAGGAAAACTCAAGGCTGGTAAGGTTGGATAGGTTGTACATAACGCAAAAGGCACTACTACTCAGCCACCACTGGGATCACTACATAGATTTTACTACATTTATTACAACTATTTTCCAGAAGATGGCAGTGAAGTGTCTTAAGGGATGCCTTTCTCTAAGTCCCACAAGGTCTATTTGGGCCAGCAGAGTGACCCTGGGAATCTGTTTTCCTTCTTTGAACTGAGTTTTTTTTTTTTTTTTGCTTTAGTTTTAAAGATTTTATTCATGAGAGACAGAGAGAGGCAGAGACATAGGTAAAGGGAGAAGCAGGCTCCCTGAGGGGAGCCTGATGCGGGACCCCATCCCAGGAATCCTAGGACCTGAACCAAAGGCAGACGCTCAACAACTGAGCCACCCAGGTGCCTGTGAACTAAGTTTTAATAATACCAGCAAAGGAGATAATCCCAAAATGTGTCTCTATAACCAAGTTAGAACAATGTCCAGTTCTGAAGAGAGGGTTTAGGATTTGCTAATTTCTAGCTAATGAAATTAGGAAGTTCCCCACAACCGAAATTTCAGCTTTTCACTCTGTGAAAGGTCAGATACAGGAGAGGTTTGTGGGCAACCTGTGATCAGCTTACATAGGACCAGCTTCCTTCTTGCAGAGAAAGATGGATGAAAGGGGGAAAGAAAAGGATACAGTGTCTGTTAATAGCCTTTTCTCTGCATTATCACTGCCTGCTCAACATCTTTGAGTCTCGCCCTCTTCCTGCAATCCCAGTGTGAATGCAGGATCCCACCGACCCACCAAGCTGGAAGTCTGGGAATCCTTCTAAATGACCAGCCCTTTCTCTTCCTCCTCCTTCTATTTACCCAAACCTCGGTCAGTGAGGACCTGCTCCTTAGACAGCCTACAAACCCCACACTCAACCTGTTCACATTCCCCATCAGCCTCTCTGCTCATGTGACAATGCCAGTTCTGTGGCCACCTATGCTGAAAATATTAGTCATCTTATTTTTAAGATTTTATTTATTTGAGAGAAAGCCAGCAGGAGAGAGAGCACACAGACAGAGGGAGGGGGCAAGGGAGAGGGAGAGGGAGAGGGAGAAGCAGGCTCCCCCACTGAGCAGGGAGCTGGATGCAGTGCCGGATCCCAGGGCTCCGGGATCATGACTTTAGCAGAAGGCAGACGCTAAACCACTGAGCCACCCCAGGATCCCATGCCCCATCTTTTTAAAATAAACTTATTGCAGAAGTTTTAATTTTATTTTTAAAAAGATTTTAAAAATTAATTTGACAGAGAGAGAGAAAGAGAGAGTGCCCAAACAAGCAGGGAGAGAGCCAGGTAGAGGGAGAGGTACAAGGAGACTCCCCGCTGATCAAGGAGCCCGATGCAGGGCTCAATCCCTGACCTGAGCTGAAGGCAGTCACTTAACCGACTGAGCCACCCAGGTGCCCCTTATCGCATTGGTTTTAAATAACTATTACAAAGATAGTAGCTTCTCATTCTCTTAAGGTTGCTTTCTTCTCTTTTAAATATTTGATTCATTTGTCCTGAGCAACATTGAAAAGAGATCGACTTGCTCCCCAACTTTTCCTCATGGGTAAAACAGCAGAGGTCCTAGGGCCCTGAATGAATATGCATTTTCCAAGCTGAGTGACCAGGCACACTTGCTAATGTCTCTCATTGTGCATCCTCACTGGTGAAATGGCAGGTGATAATATTTACCTTCAGGGTGGTGGTGAGAATTAAGAGATGATGCATGCAGGATACCTGGCAACAGAATAGGTGCTTAATAAAGAATATCACTTAGTGATACTAATAATAAGGTACCGGAGCGAGATGATGCTGTTTGCAGCACCAGAAGCCAGGTAACAACAAAAACAGACTTACTTTCTCCTCCCTGAACTAAGCGCCAGCTAGTTATTTGGCATCCCGTATTCTTAACTCTTTAGTGCCGGGAAGAGGACTAGCCATTAACAGCTGAGCCAGTCTTCGACTTGATGTGAGCGAAGGATACCTGGTGAGCCAAATACACCAAGCAAACCACAAGTTTCCATCATAAGCAAGGCTATTAGTTTCAGAGACGCCCCTGTTCCAAGCATTCCTCTTCCTCCTCCTCCATCCTCTTATTCACCTGAGACTGTCACTCTCCTGGCTGAGATGAACCCTATGGGACTTGATGGAGTTCACATCGCTCTGGCCAGCAAGAGACAACAGGGAGGCTAGAGTCAGACTTGACCATGGCCTTAAGCTTGCGCCTCCTGGGGCCGCCCCCTCCAGTTGGCGGCTGTACTCGGGCTAGTTAATCACTGGCTCTGGGCTCTAATCTGGGCTCCATTCCCACTCCCCCTCGCGCTCCTCTATACCTTGGGGGCTGGAAGTCTGCAAACTACATTCCCTAGCCTCCCTTGAGGTGCTTTTTTTCAACGGGAGGTCCAGGCAGCCGACTGGAAGACAGGAGGGAGGAGAGCCTGCCTCTCCAGCCCGGACTCTGATGGCGCTCCCAGCAGGAGCGGCCGAGCTGGAGCTCCAGGCTACCTGCTCAGGGATGAGGTCCCCAGGGCAGAGCAGCAGTGGTGGCCCAGGCCATCCAGCAGCCCTAGGTGTCGTGTGCAAGGACTCCAGTTCTACGGTCACGTCGGACAGTGGCTTTGGGCTCCTGGTTTCTGCAGTGTCCGTGGGTATCCTATGGCTGCTAGATGATCCCATTGCCCACACGGCCCTGGGAGTGATGATGTCTGCCCAGTTACTAATGTCTGGATGACCTCAGTTTCCCCCTTTTTGATCTTTCAGGCCTTTCAATCCTTTTGTCACTATTTCCCATAGTAAATCCCCCATTTTGAAATGTGTTGGGGTGTCTGTTTTCCTGGCTGGACGAGCACTGAAACCCATCTTGAGGTTGCCTCACCAGCTGCCGAGGGCTGGGCTCTCGGGGAGCCTCTACGAGCATGGCCCCCCTGGAAGCAGAGGAGAAAACCGGGGTGTTGGCCAAGGAAAGGCTGGGTCTCACGTGCAGGCACTGCTTCCTCCAGGGCCCTCCTCACCCCGGCCTGGTTTGTGCCACGGCACCAAGGGCACGCGTACCTGTTCTCCCCTTTGTGCCACAGATGCTCCTCGCGGGGTAGGGCAGCGTCTTCTCGGTCCTCCACCCTCGCTGACTGACAAGTGCTGAGCAGCCAGGTGGCGGGGGAGCCCGATCAACCCTCCTGGCCTGTGCCCCAAAGTCTCATTCGTGCGGCCCCGTTTCCCCCTTCGTGCACTGGATAGGGGCAGGGGGACAAGTCCCATCAGCCCCCAGGAAGAACATGCAGGAAACTGAGGCAGCCTCAATCAAGTCTTAAATATTTAATTCCCATTTATTTAAAGTTCTGTCAGTCTGTGTACACTATTTATATTAAAAACACAGGAAGCTGGGGCTCCTAGCAAAAATATACATTTCAGTTTTGGAGATTGTGTTCAGACACTGAAAAGAGCTAGATCCTCAGCACCAGGCCTGGGTGCGGGAGGGGGTGTGGGGGGGTCAGGCACAGCATCTTTCCCTTCACAGCGCTGGCTCAGAGGGAGCACCCCAACCCCAATCCTTGGTCAGCTGAGGGTGGGGGCAGGTGAGGGAAGAGTCTCATCCATAGAGAATGATCCCAGGGCACGGAAGGCGGGGGGAGATGGACAGGACCCAGGAAGCCTGGGCTCTAACCTCAGGTCTTCCCCACCTTTCTCAGAGACCCTCCCCAGTCCCTCATCCCTCCAGGCCAGTTTCCTTCCTGGAGAAGCAGGCTGTGGGGGAGCTCTCTGCCTTCCTGCTCAGACACAGCATCCAAGTTGGGCTTTGGTCCCTCCTCTGAGGCCGGGTACTTCACCTGGGAGGAGGGGAAGGGTAGAGGCAAGGGCCAGAGGAGCAGTCCTAGGCCTGGCAAGGTCCTCGGTCACCAGAGGCTGTGTGGGGTGAGTTCCAGGTGGTCGGCCGGGCTGAATACAGGGGAGGGGAGCACAGAACTGCGGGGACAAAGGGATGTCACACCGGGTGGGATCAGTTTATTTCTGGCATGCCCTCCGTGAGCAGGTTCTGGGCTCCCTGCCCAATCGCTCACCTGTAGGCCCGGCTGGCCCATCTGCCTCAGGGAAGGGAGGGTGAGGGTGAGGGTGAGGGGAGAGGAACAGGTAAAGTGATTCAGTGCTTGCGTGTGCTGGAGTGGCAGCTCCAGGGAGTGTTGGGTGGGGTGTGTGTGCGGGGGGTGTGTGTGCATGAGCTTTTGGCTGGGCTCCTGTTAGGAGCCGAGGCCAAGTCCTGGCACTGGGTGAAGAAATAGGAGCTGTGGTTGGTGGCTGCTGCAGGGTGGTGGGAGAGGGGCTGCCGACGACCCCAACACCTGGGGTCAGAATTAAGTATGCTGCTTGCTGCCTTTCCTGCCAACCTCTGCCTCTCTTGAGGCTTGCTCATCTTCGGTGGGGGGCCTCAGGAGGGAAGCCCACCTCCTTCCAGGCTGGAGGTGTCCCCCAGCGGCCAGCGCAGGGGACCATTAATGACACTGGCCTGGAAGACTGGTAAAAGAACAGAGAGGGTGTTGGTATTGGTGGGGCTGGGGCGTGCTGCTGGAGAGGGGTTGGCAGAGGGGAGGGTGGCAACAGTCTGGGGGAGGTGTTCCGGCCCTCAAGGCAGGGCCCCGGTGACTTGGGGGGCTGTGACTGCAGTCAGCCCCAGGAAGCCGGGCCCAGAGAGCTTAGTGTTTCTTTGGCTGGCCCAAGTCCTTTGCTGTGAAGACAGAAGCAAGGCCCCTACCCTTGCAGGTAAAATGTTCATACAGAGGGAAGGCCCATTCCCCCCTGCTCCTGGGGGACAGGGGATGAGGCGGACGAAAGCAGAGGACCCGTTTCATGCTGCTGGTGAAGTAACACAAACTGTCTCACAGAGAGAAAGAGGGGCACACAAAGGGATGGGGAGACACAGAGGGAAGGTGAGAGAAGGCGAGGGAGGAAGGAAGGTGGAAACCCATAGAAAGGGAGAGAGCGCGCGCGCAAAGAAATAAGAAAAGAAAGAGGGTCTGAGAAAGAGGCGGATGGAAAAGGTCGGGGTAGGGGAAGGCAGGGAACAAGTGGCCGTGTGTCTGCGCACGGGACTGATCCCATGGCTCGGGGGCTATTCCACAGAAAGTCCTGGCTCTGTCCGTTCACCCCTGGAGGCCCCGGGTGCACACCCTTAGTACATGTCCTTGTAGATCTCCTGGAGCAGGGGGTGCAGCGAGGTCTCCGTCTCGGTCTTCTTGATGCGCTGCATCATCTGCGCGTGCTCAGTGACCAGCTGCCGCAGGTCGGCCATCTTCTGCAGCAGCTTGGGGAAGAGGTACTGGGCGTAGGGGTGGTTGGCCTGCAGGTGGAACTCGAGGGCACGCAGGATGGTGTCCTGGATGGCCTCCACCTGGGGCACGTTTATGAGGCCTGGTCGGTCTGTGGGGACATAGGGTAGAGGTTGTGGGAGGGAGCAGGAGAGCTCCCCTATCTCTACCTCTACCCCGTGTGGGTGACCTGGCCCAGGGAGCAGCAGCCCTACTGATGTGACAGACCAAGCCCTGTCCCGTCAGTGACTGTTCCACTGAGTATTCTAGTCCCTCCACCCCTGGTCCTGGCCTGTCTCCTTCGTTTTGTTTTTCCTGCTGAGAAAGGCAGTATGACCTCATGGTTAAGAGACTCACTGCCTAGATCCAATTCCCATCCCTACGACAGACCAGTGACAAGGCTGTGGGCAGGCCACTCAGCCTCTCTGACCTCAGTTTGTGCATCTGTAAAATGGGGTGATGCATCCACTGTGTTGAGTGGGATCAAATGAGTTATAATCTAGGAAAAGGAACCAGAACAGTGCCTGGTGTGAAGTAAGCTCTATGGCACTGTCAGCATGATGATTATTCTATTTATTGTACCAGAATCTGAAAAATGTGGGTAAAATATGGAGAATTTCTCCGCCATCAGAAATCATCCCCATTAACATGCTGGCATATTTCTTTTCAGTTTTTTTTCTGTCTCCTCTCCATGTATAAAAGGGAGCTGGTCCTCCATGTGGTTGGTGCCTCTGATGTTGCACTGCCATCCTCACATGGGCACCTCCCCATGCTGTTTGGGCTCCAGCCTGGTGCCCCACAGTGAGGGCCCAAGCCCCGGAAGGGCTGGGTGTGGGGGGCAGGCCCGCCTGCCCCCCCCTCACTTACCTCCACAGAGAATGATGGCTGCGATGAAGAGAGCCAAGTCACTGTCATCAAGTTCCAGGGCATTGAACTTGACAGCAAACTCAAATTTGGGCTCGATGATGTCACTGAAGGGTTTTCGGAGGCTTCGCAAGAACTCACGGGTGACAAAACCGGTGCCATTGGCGACCAGTAAGCCGTCCTTGTTGACGATGGAGGCCAGCATGGCGAATATGGCCTCGTGTACACCATACTTGAGAAGGGTCACCTGGTCGTTGAGGAAGAGGTTGCTGAAGCTGGGGATGCTCTTGGCAAACTCCGTAAGCTCACGCACAGTCTCGACTGTGGTGCACTGGCAGCGGTAGAAGACGTGCACGCTGATCTCCTTGTAGGGTGGCAGGCCGTTCACCAGCTGCTTCCACACCAGGCCCTTCTCTGCTTGCCACAACGTCTCAATGTCATGGATGACAAAGGGCTGCAAACCAGGCCCTGTTAGAGGCCGGGCCTTGGGGACCCCCACCCATACACTCCCCGAACCCCTGCCTGGGCCACGGCGCAAGGGGAGGGAGAAGGCCTGGTTCCCCCAGAAGTTAGGCAGGCAGCACAGAGCCTGGAGCCTGGGACTGCTGGGGCAAGCAGTGACACTCACCGCCGTGTGGCTGGCCTTGCCCGTAAGGATGCCACGGGCCTTCTTTTTGGTCATGTTGAAGTTTTTCAGGTAGGCGTTGTAGATATGCTTGGAGAAGGCCTTCAGGTCAGCCACCTGTGGGTTGTGCTGAGTCCCCTCGTTTGCTGTCAGCCCTGCCACCAGCTTCCTCTTCTCGGCCTCTGGCATCCGGCCAAAGCGGATGGCTGTATTGAGGGGGATGGGTCATCGAGGAGCCCGGGCAGGAGCTGGCACCCCTGACCTCCTTGTCTCACTACAGGTATGTGGGCCAGAAATGGAGACACACTTTTTGAGCCCAGGACCCTCAGAAGCTCTACAGCCAGCACAATGGAATGTTGGGGAACCCCGCTAGAATGTAAGCTCCAGGGGGACAGGGCTTCTGTCTTGTTCACAGTGCCTGGCACACAAGGAACCCTAACTCAGGGAGCTGACTGAGCCACTGTGGCTGGAAGGCAGTGGGGCAGTGTGACAGGCGGGAAGACAGCCTGTGGTGTCAAAGGCTGGTGCTCGAGCTCTAGCTTGGCAGCTTACTGGCCGTGTGACTTAAGGCAGGCTATTTCACCTTTATTGGTAAGAAAAATGGGCTAATACTTAAATCTCACTGGACTGTCTAAATAATTAAATAAGAATATTCACAGAGTAAGCACTAAAAAATTAGTCATTAGAAATGGAGCAGGATCCAAGTCTGGTTTCTCTTAAGAGAAAAAGTGAGAAATGAGCTGGCCCTGAGATCTCCTAGGAAATCCCCTCAGCCTACCCAAGAAATGGAGCCTGGGCAGATACACACTGAAGGGAGGGACCAAACCCCAGACCCGCCAGCCCCCACCACCTAGGAAAATCTTCCAATGGAGGGCTCCGGTCCTGCCACCATCTAAAATGCAAGACAGGGTGGAGACATTTAAATAAGAGGCTCTCCCCAGCCCTCGGTGGGGACGGGGGGGGGAGGGTTGGGGGGCGCAGGTGTCTGACCCAGACAGGCAAAGAGGGGGCAGGTGGGGTTTCTCAAAATCCTACTGTATGGGGTCTGAAGACTCTGTAGGAGGCCCGAGTTCAGGGCAGATTGTGTCTCCTGGGAGTGGCTGGCCTCCAGGAAACTCCTGTCTGGCTCCCGGCAGCTGACAAGTGCGGTCACTTACTGGCTCCTGCCTGCCTTCAATACCTAAGAAGGGCCAAGGTGATCCCAGGCTTTGGCAGTGGCTCCTGACACCGTGTCAGGTCAGCTGAGACAGGCTTGAGGTTCTGGGAGTGGTGTTTCCAATGCTACTGGAGCTGGGGTCAATTCCCAGTTCCCGTCTGGGCCAGCGAGGGTAAGCCTCAGGTACTGGGAGGAGGTGACTGCCCCAGGCCCCAGACCCACAGCGGATGCTGAGCAGTCTGGGGAAGGCAGGTCTGGGGAAGGACGGCTGATGCTGGCTCCAAGGCTCAAGAGTTGACCTTTACTCTGTGCCTGTGTGCCAGGCACTGCTCTGAGGGCTCTCCCTTCCTGGGCTCCCCTGATTCTGGTCTCAGGCTGTGTGAAGCCAGCATCTCCTGTGTCTGGCTCAGGGTGGCTCTCACCATTATGCGACATGCCCAGTGCCACGCATTTCTGGAAGCGGCAGTACTGGCACTTGTTGCGGTTCTTCTTCTGGATCTTGCAGATCCGCTCGCACTTCTCATATTCCAGCTTCATGCGGATTGTCCGACGGAAGAAGCCCTGAGGGACAGTGAAGAGGTGAGAAGAAGCCACAAAATGTGGAGAATCCTGTTCTACCCAATGGGTTATGTTAAGTCAGGGGCCCCAGTTCTATGTGAAGATGTAGAAATTCCTGAAATTTGGAAGTAATGCAGGGAAATTTCCTTTGGAGAGGAGGAGGAGAGTAAACAATTCTAAAACCGTTGAGAGTTACATACATCCTTTAAATGCTTGTTAGTTTGGTAACATAAAATTGTATCATGGCTAAACTGATTTCTTCATAAATGTATCTGGTTCTTGGCATTTTCTAGACAGTGGTTTAGTAAAATAACATATAAAATTTTGATGGGTGTGCAGTTGGGAGGATGAGCACCAAAGCAGCCCTGGAAATAGGAATGTTAAGTTTCCTTTTTTCCCTCAGAGAGACTCAGGTGCAGGAAACACTGAGGTCAGGGTGATGGTTCAGCCCAAGACCCTCACTGGGTGCTGCCGGTGTTCTAGAACTACATCCCCAGGGGGCGCTGGCAGCCAGACAGCCCAGGAGAGTGACTGGGGTGGTGCCCCGCAGGGAGGGACCAGAGGGACCAGGGCTGAGGCCTGGAATGGTCCCCAGGACCTGGCTGCCTCCCAGGTGGGAAGTACAGTAAGTACTGTCAGGGCCTGGCCTCTCTGGCAGGTCATCTCACCATGTAAATACAGCCCCGACTGCCAGCCACCACTCGCCACGGCCTCACCTTGCACCCCTCACACGCATGGACACCGTAGTGGAAGCCCGATGCCTTGTCCCCGCACACACGGCACTCCATGTTGAGGCTGCCACATGATGCCCCATCACCGCCCATCTGTAACTGGTCCAGCAGTGACGGTGGTGAGGAGCTCCGGGAGAGGTCTGCGAACACACAACATGGGGGTGGCTTCACCTTCTGCCATGATGGGGGCCCAAGGAAGTGACTGGGGCCCACGGGGGCAGAGCAGATGGTGGGAAGAGCCTGTGTTTCTGAATCACACATCTCTCACTCAGCTCATTAAGAGCTATGTGCCTCAAGGAGTCAACCTTTCTGAGGATCAGTTCCTTCATCTAGAACCCAGGGCTTTTCCCTAGACCTGACATACAGCAGGTGTTTGGGAAATGGCAGCTTATCAGTATTGGGGGAAGTCAGAGCCTGCCTGGGCTGTACTCACCATCGGGGAGGAGAGGGGTATGGGTGTGTGTGTGTCCTGCCTCAGCCACGCTGGCTTGCCCATCTGCCCTTCTCTGCTCTGTCCTGATGCTCGAGCAACCTCCTCAGGGGCAGGGGTTAAGTCCCCAGACCAGAGAATCAGTGGCTCAGAGTAGGCCGGTACCTTAGGCAGACCCATGCCATGGAGCCGTGCCCGGACTTAATATTTCCCAGGCTGCTGTTCCTCCCTTTCTATAATCCAGATAAAGGTCACTCCACAAATTATCTCGAGTTCCCTCCTAAGGCATAACCCACCCTCCCCAGAGTGTACCCCACCCTTCTCACACCTTCCTCAGCTCCCCCTGTGGTACTCGGAGTGACAGGAGGAAAGCCTTCAGCCAAGCCCTATCTCAGCCACAGAGAGGGGAGCACGAACACCAGACCAGACCACAGCGGAGAGGATCAGGCAGCCTGCCCCCCACCCTGGGCTGGCAAGGGCAGGGGAGCCACAAGTTCCTGATTCCTAAAATTGGCCTGTCCTGTTCCAGGGCCTTAGCTCCCAACCTTTAGCCATTCCACAGATGAAGGAGAGTGGGCTGCCTGGGAGGGCACAGTGCTCCTGTGGGAGGGCAGAGCCACTATGGTTTCCTCCAAAGCTTCAGCCACAACATGACAGTCTGTATGTGCTGACCCAGTGTTGGGTGTCCTCCACCAGGGTGTGAGGGCCCTTGGGCAGGAACGCTGCCCCCAGGGTGCCGCTTCTGCACAGGGAGCAGGCTCTGAGCAGTGACTGTGACATAAGGGGTTCTGAGGCTCCCTGGGCATCCTGCACTTGGCACCACCTGGCTGTAGGGGCCAGGCAGATCCTGGGGGCACAGTGATGGGGGGTCACAGAGCTCATGTTATGAGCTGCTGGGAGAAAATGAGATCACACATAAAACCCCTTTGTAGACAACCGTGCAGATGCTGAGCAGGAGGGTTTCCGGCACTTCCTCCTCCAATCTGTGTGGTCTGTGTGCATGTTCACTTTGTGTCACTTCTTTCAAGCCGTTTTGTTTTTGTGGCTTACATGTCTGCCTCCTCTGCTAGACATGGGACATCTCTAATCACATTGCCTTTGGATTTCAAAGCCCACCTCCACTACCTAGTCTCAGCTGCAGTAAACCAACCTCTCGGCAGTGCCCGCCTTCTTCTCCCTCCTGGCCCTGGATGCTGGGCAGGTGTCAGGTCATTTGCACCACAGGAGGCAATACCACCCTCTCTTTTCATTCAACAGGCATCTGATGAGCACCTGCTGCATGCAGGGCAGGATCCAGGCCCTGCCCTCGACTAGCTGAGGTAAGAATGAGATAAGAAAATTGAGACACAACACGGCGAGTGGCAACACCGGCTAAGGGGCAGGCAGATGGTGCAGGACTTCGAAGGAGCCACCACTCAAGAATGAGGCTGTCAGGGAAGGCGACTGCTGCTCTCTCTGGGTTCCAAGGTGAGAGCTTTGGAAGACTTCCAGGTCGGCTTCCAGATGCTCAGAAAGAGCAGGCATGAAGGTTAAGAATGTGACTGAGGGATCCCTGGGTGGCGCAGCAGTTTAGCGCCTGTCTTTGGCCCAGGGCGCGATCCTGGAGACCCGGGATCGAATCCCACGTCGGGCTCCCGGTGCATGGAGCCTGCTTCTCCCTCTGCCTATGTCTCTGCCTCTCTCTCTCTCATTCTGTGTGACTATCATAAATAAATAAAAATTAAAAAAAAAAAAAAAAGAATGTGACTGAGTTCAAACTGGTGTTTTGGGCTCAACACCCAGTTTTGCCCTCTGGGCCCCAGTTTCCTTCTCTAAAATGAAAGTCATGGTGAAAAGTAACACAGTTACTATAGAGAGAAGTCCTAGAACTTGGAAGTGCATGTGAATATCAGTGTGAATTAGGGCTGTGCTTATCAGAAAGCCATAATTCTGCATACTCCAAGCTGTGTACCCCACGCAGGCAGGGACTGTGACTTGTCCTCTTTCTGGCTGGTTGTATCCCTTCCCCTACAGCTTCACATAAATCTACGGGGGGTGGCGGTGTCTCTGCTTATGAGGCCCAGAGAACCCCTAGAACCAGACCAAGCCTCCTTTCACTTCCCCTGACCTGCCACTGGCCCCTGGCTCAGGGGCCTCAGGATCACTGGGAACCCTGGGAGAAGCTGAGATGTTCAAGCCTCACCAGCCCCCAAAGCAGTCTGAGCTGAGAATCCTGGGGACAGACCCAGGACGAGTGTCTCAGAGGGAAGTGCTGCATATGGGACTGTGGAGAAACAGACTCAGGACAGTGTCAGGGTGTTGGATCACACTGTCCTGCCCCTGGGTGGTAAACAGACACAAGCAGAACCCGAAAGCAGTTGGCAATGCTTGGTAGTGGCAGGCTAATAGGACAAGGGCATCCCTCCCCCTGGCCATTTGGAATAAGACAACAAAAGTAACTGAGACACACGGCAGAGAGGCAGAGGGGATGAGGTGCTAGGGTGGGCAGAAGTGTATGCATCCTCCAGGGGTAGGCTTCGTGGTGGAGTGCATGTGCAGCGGGGATACTGAGGTGGTGGTGGTTTGGGAGTCAGTTTTCTAAAGATAAAGGTTCTGTTCTTCCTGGCTGACCAAATGGCTCAAGGATTTACCTTTGAACCACCATCCTACCCAAAAGCAATGATAGCAGAATGCTCCCCCATTCTGGGGACCAGGTTCTGAAGGTCCTACCACCTTGTCCATAACCTCCTGGTGGGAGACTAGGGTTTTGAGAGGCCCTCCCCCTTATCAAGAGTCTCTGCCTTGGTGCCCCTCAGGTATGCTGGCTGGAGACACAGGCCATGCCAGTTTGAGGGCGAGCTGCCTGCACAGCTGCTCTTCTGAGCCAGCCCAGTGCCGTCCTCCCCCCAGTTCCTCCTCTGCTCTCAGGAAATATACTTGCTCACCTGATGGCCATCATCTGGCACTGAGCTCTGCCTCTGAATTTCTACTCCAGCCATGCCCTGCCTGACTCCCCAGGCATCTCCTAAGGGCCCACCTCTAGCTCTCCCTCAGGAAGGGGGAAAGAACCAGCATTTATCAGCCCCCCCACCCCAGAGCTTGTCAGTATCATTCTATATCACCTTGGAGGATAGTAACTGGCACCATTTAAGATGAGGAACCTGAACCAGGGCATGTTCCTGGAGACCCGGGATCGAGTCCCAGGTCGGGTTCCCAGCATGGAACCTGCTTCTCCCTCTGCCTGTGTCTCTGCCTCTCTCTCTCTCTCTCTCTGTGCCTCTCATGAATGAATAAATAAAATCTTTTTAAAAAAAGAAAAAAGGATGAGGAACCTGAAGCTTGGTGAGGTTAAGGAACCTGCCCAAGGTCATCTGTCTCATACTTGGTGGGACTGGGACTTGAACCTAAACCTGATTTCCCTGTAAAGACTGTGTCTATACAAATAATATCTTTTTTTGTGCATGCCTACTGTGTGCCAGGGGCTCTGCTGGATACTGTATACCATTAATCTCATGTGAACCTTAAAATAACCCTTTGAGCAGGTCTTCTGACCCTTTTATAGGTGAGGTTAAGTACCATGCTGACAGTGGCATTAACCAGATTGTTAATTTTATGTGTCATCTTGGCTAGGCCATCGTATCCATGCTGATCAGTTTTTGGTCAAATATCAGTCTAGATGTTGCCGTGAAGATAATTTTTTAGATGTGATTAACACTGAAATCGTTACTCTCCATAACATGAGTAGGCCTCAGCTAATCAGTTGAAGGAAGGAGGAATTCCGCCTCCAGACTGCCTTCAGACTTGAGCTACAGCATCAGCTTCCCTGGGTCTCCAGTCTGGTGGCCTGTCCTGAGGAATTTCAACTTGCCAGCCCTCACAGTTGTGTGAGCCAGTCCTTAAAGACACACACACTCTATGTATGCACACATCCTACTGGTTCTGTTTCTCTAGAGTACCCTGACTAATACAGTGGCAGAGTAAGAATTCTAACCTAGAACCACCCAACCCCTGGGGCTGAGCTCTTACTGTACTCTATAACTTTCCATATGTATGTATATATTCATTACTACTAATCAATAATTCATGAATATGATGAATGATGAGACATGTCACTGCTGAGGATGACACCATGCCATTACTCAAATGTTTAGACTCAGAGTAAACACTAACCCCAACACCCAGAGAGCAAACCATCTGTTGCACCAACTTGGATTACAAGTTCACTATTGACCTCATTTACATCATTTATGTATAGATGAGAGTTCTCTTGTATATCTAGGCTCCATTGCTGGCAGTATACTGTTGTCCTGGCTGGGAGGGTGGCCAGGAGGGGTCAACATTATTTACTTTGCTGGCAGAGCCAGCAAATAGCTTCTGAAGTCAGGGCCAATTCTGTGGGACTCTGGATCTGGGTTAGTGAGCAGCCTCCTGACTTCTGTCGTCCTATTCACTTGCACAGTGGGCTTCTCAGGGCTGGCATGCAGTCTTGTCCTCAACTGAACAGCCAGCCCCTGCCTGGACGCCCACTGAGTGCTTGCTAGGAGAGGAGGTACCAAGGCCAGGAGGAATAGCACTTTATCCTCCTCAGCCCCAGCCCCACATTAAGATCCCTGACCTCTTCCTTGGGTGTGGATGGGATGCCCATCACCAAAGCAGGAGGGGACAGCTGCCCCAATCCCTCCCCAGCTGGGGGACCCCGGGCATGTGAGTTGCCTCGCTGCTGTGTGCTAATAGTGAGGCCTATCCTGCCTGCCTCTTTTGTCAGGTCTTGAGCTCGGTACAGAGATGCAGAACCTTAGAAGGTCAGAGGGAAACAAACCGTGTGATCTTCCTGCCATTTCAGGGTTTGAGACTGGGTCCCATCCTCCTGAATTCCTGAGGGGACTCCAGAGGCTCATGGGGTAGGGGAGAGAACCTCACCCAGCCAGCCTTTGAGGTGGGCAGACTAAAGGTAGAGACTGAGATTAGAGAAATGAAGGCACCAGCAAAAGCCACAGCTCAGAGTCACAGACTTGAGATTTCTGCCCTGGTTGATGTGATCCCCAATACAGGATGAGCTCTGTCTCCAGGGCTCCTCACCTGCTGGCCTTTTTTTGGGAAACAAAATTACATTAACTTTCTAAAGCGACGCGTTTGCTTCTTAAATGATGAGAGTACCATAGATTGAGGATAATACATAATGGCATGCACCATCTTATAAGGCATCCTCTCTGCCACGATCCCACTCCTCTGAGTTAATGGCACAGTCCTTTGTGTGTATACTCTTCAGCGCCTTCCATGATACTGAAAGATTTTTAAGCAATGGGACCCCCAACTTGGCAGGAGCTCTTTTTCCCGTCAGTGTGTTTAGACCTACCCTATCCTTACTAATGACTACACAGTATTCCACAGTGTGGCTCTACCACAGTTTACATAACCAATTCCCCACAGATGGGTGTTTGCCAATTCTTTGCTTCTCTGAGCAGTGCTGCAGTAAATAAGTGTGGAAATCTCTGTGCGCTCTGAGCGAGTATTTACATGGGATACATTCCTAGGAGGGGAGCTGCAGGGTCAAAGGAATGAAAGAAGTGACAGCCTGCATAGCCCAGCTGCCCTTCCACCTTTCGTGGCTGGAGGGCCATGTCTTCTCCCTCTGGCCAAAACAGTTCTCTTTGCTAATCTGACAGGCTAAATGACATCTCATCTTGAAGATGGCTTCTTTGATTAGTGAGTAGACTGGAAAACATTTTGTTTTCCAGCCATTTGTATTTGTCCTACCACAAACTCACTGTTTCTATTTTTCTGTTGCTTATCTTGCAGAGTTTGTGGGAACTTTTTATATACTTTGGCTTTAACACATAATGGTTATTCTTGATTTTTTAAAAGATTTTTATTAAAATCTTAAATATTTTTATTAAAATCTTAAAAAAAAGAGACACGGAGAGAGAGGCAGAGGTACAGGCAGAGGAAGAAGCAGGCTCCACGCAGGGAGGCCGAAGTGGGACCTGGTCCCAGGACTACAGGATCATACCCTGGGTGGAAGGCAGGTGCTAAACCACTGAGCCACGCAGGCGTTCCCTAGTCTCAATTGTTCAACAATTGAAAGGAAGTCTCTCTACCTCTACTTCATCAATTTATTGGTAAATGGAATCCGTTAAATATCACATCACACATACCACTGCAAGGGTAGTTGGGCAAATTTCTTCCCAGACATCTCCCTGTGTGCCCTAAATCTCGCTGATAAAGCTTCCCAAGACGCCATCAGCATGTCCACCTCACCCCGCCTGTACACCCAGCACTGCACCCTGGTCTGCATGTGAACAGGAGTATCATGTAGGGGTGTGGTCCCCACAAGGGTATGTAGAAAACTCCAGAACAGGTCATTACTCTCCAGGTAATTTCTGTGTGGCTGACCCAGATGTGGGGATAGGGTGGGCCAGGCCAGGTGGTGAGGCCACAAATTCCATCACCTTCTCTTCCCTTTTCACTCTTCCTCAGTGACAGACCTTGCTCATTCTTAATCCCTGGTGTTTTCCTTCTGCTGCCTAACTGCCCCCCCATCTCAATTTTATTTTATTTTATTATTATTTTTTTCCATCTCAATTTTATTTTCTTTAAATATTTATTTATTTATTATTTATGATAGACAGAGAGAGAGAGAGAGAGAGAGAGAGGCAGAGACACACACAGGAAGAGGGAGAAGCAGGCTCCATGACGAGAGCCTGACGCGGGACTTGATCCCGGGACTCCAGGATCGCACCCTGGACCAAAGGCAGGCCCTAAACCACTAAGCCACCCAGGGATCTCCTCCATCTCAATTTTAGAACAGTATGTGTTATTAGCTCTGAGTGACCAATCACCTTTTGTCAGCCATTCCTCTTCTGAGAAAGGCCGGGTCTCTGAATTCATCCCAGTCACTAACACATAGGGAATGGTTACGCTGGGGGTTGGGAGATACTTTCTCTTGAGTCCTGAAATCACACCAAGCCCATTTTGGTCATTCCTGGGTATATGAGTGGGATCAGAGGGATGGGATGATGACCTTCCCCTTATCCTATTCACCACATGCCCCGAAGAAAAAGCTCTGCAAAATCCAGAAACTCGTTTTGCAGGTTCAAAGTAGTGTGGCTTGAGGATTTGGGCCTTTCTTAAATATAGGCCAGGCAGGAATCTGTTCTACTCAGCAGCCCCTGCCCTACCTTAACTCTGCCATTTACCTCCTCCCCATGCAGACACGGGGCTCCAGAGATCATCCTGTGGGGTGGGTCTGCTCCCCTGCCCTTAATCACCTGTGGCCAGAATTTCCTCCAGCTGAAACCAGAAGCAAGATCAGGGTGTCCCCTGCCAGAAATACATCCTCTCGTGATCCTAAGTCCCTTCTGTGGGTAAGGGAGCAAGAATCAGCTGAACATTGGCACTTGAGGGGGAAAGAGAGAAGCTGGTGAGGAAAGGGTTGGGAACAGGGAAGGGGCAGCAGCAGGGAAAACCAGGGGCTAAGGAGTGGATTCTGGGTGCCCCTAAGATGGACATAATATGATGCTAAAGAAGATGGAGAGAGAATAGTACAGGGTCCCAGAGAAGAATGTCTACACTGCTACTAACAGTGGATAAACAAATGGGGAACTGATAGTGAGATAAGAGAAGCTAGAAACTGCCTGAATGCACAAAAGTAATCTTAATTACAGTCATTCAGACTAACCGCTTAGCATTTATGCCTAATTACAGCACAGCTCGATGATGTGTATAATTAGCACTAGATCAATGGAGCTGGGTGTTGTGACTGATCATTACAATCACAGGTACAGTTGATCTTTCCCATGTGCTGTTCATGCAGATTGGCTCCAGATCCCTTGGGCGGCAGCAGTGGGAATAATACTGATGACCACATGTATTACCAATGCTAACTCATTTAATTTTCACAAAAGCCCCAGTCCACATCCCCTTCAAGCCCTGTCTGTTTCACAGAAAGAAGAAGTGCAACTTGCCCAAGGTCCCGCAGCACTGATGAGCAACAGAAGAGGGGTGTGACTGTCAGCTCCAGTTCTTTTTTTTTTTTTTTTTCGGCTCCAGTTCTTAACCATTCTGCCCCTCTGCACCCCATGCTGCTGGCTGCAGAGGGCAGGTTTTCGGTTAGGCCTGCTCTGCTTCCTCTACCCTGTGTCCCCCCGCCGCCCCCTCCTCACCTGTATAGCTGCTGGAAGGAAGCGAGCGCTCTGGTCCTCCATTGAGCTCTGGGGCTCCTTCTGCCTCTGCCACTTCCTTTTTCTCCTCCTCTTCCCGGACCTCAGCGGCTTCCCCCGGTGGCTGCTCCATGACTGATTTCCCCTCGGTGCCACGCCTGCAGGCCCGGTCATAGCTCTGGCATCATCTGGGTCTGAATACAGCTGGACCTCTAAAGGGCAGTTCCCATCAGCCTGAACCAAGGGGCAGACAGGAAGAGGATGAGAGGGTGAGAGAGCAGGACATGCCAGGGGGCTATCACCTCAGGGACAGGATGGAGGGAACTCCCCTGTTCCTGCTTCTTCATGGCAGGAATGCCTCCTCCCTGGAGTGCTATCCCACGGTCTCTGCTCCTTGTACCACGAGTCACTTTTCCTCCTGCCCTTTGTCTACTTGGTTCCTAAGGCCAGTCTGTGGGGTTCAGAGCAGTATCCACGATCCAGATAGGGTGACACACCACTGCATCACCTTTCTCTGGCTCCTCGGCCCCTTCCTCCTCTTTGAGCCAGATCAAAATGACTTCAGGGTCTTTTTCCAACTCTGTGTTCCTCCTGGAGATTCTGATAGGCATCGTACCTCCTAACCCCCACCCCATCCCCTCCAGCACTCAGGCTCTCCTAGGCTGCAATTCTTGAAGGAAGTAGGTCCTATCCTTTCTGTGTCTGGGTGTGGGAAAACAAAAAGATACAAGCCTCTGCTGTGCTAGGCTGACAGTTGACAGCAGATCTGCAACTAGACCCTCAACAGCATAGCCATCAGGCAAGCGGAGATACATTCTGTCTAGGAATTTTTCCAAAGGGGGTTCCTGGGTGCTGACTCCCATGTGGAAGAGGCAGTTCCAACCCTTGGCAAGTCATATATTGCCCACAAACACCAGTCAGTGGTGGTAACATCATGAAGTGTTGTGGGGGCGTCATCCTGTCAGAGAATAGTAGGGAGACACCTTGAGAGTGGGGTGGATTTTGATTAGAGATGGCATGGGACTTGTCTTGGGGACACAGCATGAGAAAAGACTCAGAGGCAGCCCAGTGGGGAGCAGTGAGGAGTCCTGGTGGCCAATGGAGTGAGTGCTGTAGGATAGAGGATTTGGAAGGATGGCTGGGAAGGTGGGTTGCATCCAGGCATATAGGCACGACTGACTCTATCCTTAGGCAGTACAGGCTGTGGGAGGATCGAGAGCAGAGAAAACCTGCTTCAGGGAAATTCAAGCATCTGTGGGACTTCTGGATGTGCCACAGGCAGCTCAAACTCAACCTATCCAAACAGAACCCACTGTCTGCCCCCAAACCCGTTCTTCCTCTGGTAATTCCTACTTAGTGACTCGCATGCTCATCTACCCACTTATCAAAGCCACAAGGCAGGAGTCAACTGAGATTTTTCCCTCCCCCATGCTGTTCTACACTTACAAAGTTGGCTGTATGCTAGAACGGCTGGGGAGTTTTTAAAAATATGGATGTCTGAGCCTGTCCCCAGAGATTCTCATCTGATAGTCTGGGGAGCTGCTTGGGCACTGGGATCTTTATTTTTAATTCTCCTGGTGATTATTATAATGTGCAGCCACACTTGAGAATCACTGCTCCAGAGCAAAGTCACTTCCAATGGACAGTAAATCTTCCCTCTCATCATTCCTTTCCAGCAGGCTTTCATTTTCCCTTGTTTGGACTGACAACAACCTCTCCAAGTGTCAACGAAAGGCAGTTTGGAAACTCAACTCTAGTGTCTAAGAGCTGGGGAGTTAGGGATATGGAGATGTGGGGGCAATCTGTAGATGTGGGGAACATCCGAACATCCTTGTTGATTTGATAGCCACAGGAAGGGATTCAATTAACCAAAGGAGAAAGCAACACATCAAGGAAGGTCAAAAGAATAGGCATCAGAGGGCAGCCCTGTGGCGCAGCGGTTTAGCGCCACCTGCAGCCCGGGGTGTGATCCTGGAGACCCAGGATTGAGTCCCACGTCAGGCTCCCTGCATGGAGCCTGCTTCTCCCTCTGTCTGTGTCTCTGCCTCTCTCTCTCTCTTTCTCTCTCTCTCTGCCTCCCTCCCTCTCTCTCTCTCTCTCCCTCTGCCTCTCTCTCTCCATCTTAATAAATGAATGGAATCTTAAAAAAAAAAGAATAGGCATTAGAGCAGACAACAGGGCACTGGCCAGAGGCAAGAGAGACATGGGACAGACACCTCAGAGTCATGGGAAGGGCCGTTTCATGGGAGATGGCTCAACCGTCTCAAATGCTGCAGGTTGAAGGGTGATAAACTGGTACATGACCCCTGGAGTCAGTGATCGCCAGGTCATCAGTGACTTGGGAGACAAGTTTCAGTCAAGTGGTTAGGATGGAAACGTGCTCTGAAGAAGAAAGTGGTAGTAAGGAAGGCGGGACAGTGAATAGAGACTAGTTTTTCGGTAAATGCCAATGTACTACCTAGAGAAAGTAGCAAAGCCAGAAAGGGTTTTCGACTAGAGAGACTCAAGTAAGCCATGGACAGAGGACAGGTCTACAAAGAAAGACCGTCTGAAGACTCAAGGAGAAGCTGGGGCAGAATGAGAGACAGGAGGCAAATAATTCAAGGGCACAGGATGAGGAAAATATGAAGTATCGTGGCAGCTGGGAAGGGGTTGGTTAAAGCTCACACAGGCTGGCCTCACTCTTTTCATTAATAAAGCAGGGAGAAAAGTTGTCCACTGAGAGTAAAAGCAAAGAGGCTGGATGGAGGCACTTTGGCAACCACGACAGGGAATCAGCTGGAAAGGAATAAAAAGAATTAGAGCAAAGCCACAACAATAATTAAAAGGGTAGGGGATCCCTGGGTGGTGCAGCGGTTTGGCACCTGCCTTTGGCCCAGGGCGCGATCCTGGAGACCCGGGATCGAGTCCCACATCAGGCTCCCGGTGCATGGAGCCTGCTTCTCCCTCCGCCTGTGTCTCTGCCTCTCTCTCTCTCTCTGTATGACTATCGTAAAAAAAAAAAAAAAAAAAAAATTAAAAGGGTACTGACACATGAATAGACAATCAATGAAAGAGAATACAAAGAGTCTATATAAATAGATGCAAACACATATGGAACTGTATCACGTTATAAAGACAGTACTTCAAAGAGAAAAAATAGATTCTCCAATAAATGGTAAGTAATGGGACAACTGAGTAGCCATCTGGAAAAATCTGGATGGACCCCTACCTCAAACCTTATATCTTTTTTTTTTTTTTTAAGATTTACTTATTTATTCATGAGAGACACAGAGAGAGAGAGAGGCAGAGACAAAAGAAGAGGGAGAAGCAGGCTCCTTGCAGGAGCCCGATGTGGGATTCAATCCTGGATCCTGGGATCACAACCTGAGCCAAAGGCAGCCACCCAACCGCTGAACCACTCAGGCGTCCCTCAAACCTTATATCAAGATGAGATCCAGATAAATAAAAAACATTTTTTTTAAGTTAAAAATATATCCATTATCGGGCACCTGCTGGCTCAGTCTGTGGAGCATGCAACTCTTGATCTCAGGGTCATGGGTTTGAGCCCCGTGTTGGGCATAAGGACTACTGAAAAAAATTTATACACACACACACGCACACACATACCTCCTTCATGGTAGAAAAAATCATAACAAAAAACATAATAAACCAGGAAAAATATTTGCAACTCTTATCCAAGGGCTAATTTCTCTAAAACATTCCCCTAAATAAGGAAAAGGCCGGCAATCTAAAAGAGAAACAGGCCTGGGATATGAAACATGTATACAGAAAAGGCACCCATTTGAAAAGCTGCTAAACACTCAGAAAAAAAATACAAAGTAAAACAATACGGAAATACAGTTTTTACGATATTAACACATGGCTAAACATAATCTCACACATCCCTGGTGGAGAGGTAAACTGGCACAACCTCTGAAGAGAGTAATTTGCCTACATTTATCTAAATTACAGGTACACATTCCCTTTGACCTAGAAATGCCATTTTTTTTAAAGATTTTATTTATTTATTCATGAGAGACACAGAATGAGAGGCAGAGACATAGGCAGAGGGAGAAGTAGGCTCCTCACAGGGAGCCTGATGCGGAACTTGATCCCAAGACTGGGATCACACCCTGACCCCAAAGGCAGACGCTCAACCAATGAGTCACCAAGGTGGCCCTAGAAATGCCACTTTTGAGTTGTATCCACCAGCTATGTTTCAACTTCAGTAAAATGACAAGAAGTATTAGTACAAGGTTATTCATTACAGTATTATTTGACTAGTAAGAGGCAGGGGATAAGCAGAATGTCTATTAACAGGGGCTTTAGTATATAAATTATGACATGGGAACAGGAATTCTATGTGGCCACAAACAAGAATCATGTTTATAGATAGGAATCTCTAAAATATATTAAAAATGGAAGAGAAGAACTTGCAGAATGAAGTGAAAGGCTACACTTCGTGCAGAAAAAGATAAACTGAAGCTGTGTGTGTGTGTGTGTGTGTTTAAGACAGGAAGGCTACATAAGAACTGGGAATGTTGGTTGCCTCCAGGTCACTAAAGAGGAGAGTTTTTTTTCATGGTACCTTTTGTGTCTTTTATTTTTTAAAAAAGATTTTATTTATTTATTTGACAGAGAGCCAGTCAGCAAGAGAGAGAACACAAGTAGGGGGAGTGGCAGAGACAGAGGGAGAAGCAGGCTCCCTGCTGAGCAGGAAGCCAGAGGTGGGGCTTCATCCCCAAAAGGCAGATACTTAACCAACTGAGCCACCCAGGTGCCTCCTTTCGTGCCTTTTAAACTCTGAACCTCAGACAATTGTCTGTTCTAAAAATAATTTAAACTGGAATAAAATAAAGAGGCAAAACCTACAAATGATAATGTAGAAGATGAGAGGGAGACAGCTGGAGGTGCTCAGGCAAATACACATGGAAAAATGTCTGGGATAACCACTAAGGTACCATGGATAGCACGTATGATTTCCAAACTATTTCAGTAGAACAGAAGAACTTAGAAGTAATGTAAAAGTCTAACTTTCTGAGAAAATCTCACAGATGGGGAGACTATGGAGACATAAAAACTATGATGTGATGTAGGATGGACTGGATCCTGGAACAGAAAGAGGACAGTGGTGGAAGAACTGGTAGGATCTGAATAAAATCTGCTTAGTTTGTAGTACTGAACCAGTGTTCATTTCTTAGTATGGCTAAGTGTCTAGCGTTTATGTAAGATATTCCCAGTAGGGGAAACTG